ATGTCTCCATGAAACCACTAAAGAAGAGAAATACCTTCTCTAATGTAGCATGCAACTGTATTTACTAATAACTAGGGTGTATTGTCTCTGTAGGTCAATATACATTAAAGTATATTTTTGTTCCCAAACCAAGGCCTTTACAAAATCCCATATAATGCATGCCAACAGACAAAGAGTGAAATAAGTAATGAACAAGCCACAGACCTCACCCTTTCACTCACACTGAGACGGGATGAAGCATTTGGCAATTTGGCATAGACAAAGACTTGAGTGTCGGAACTTATAGTTTCAAGAAGAGTGCACGGTATGATGCCACATTTAAATAAAACTTGCCCCTGATTCAGTACACTATTTCTGAAAGAAGTCTCACATCTCCTGGGTAAGAGTTTTATCACTGTGTTTTCCAATAAGAAGATCCTTGGAAACTGTGATGAGCAAGCCAGGTCTTTGTGTGTGAACACTTCCTACTCCTTTTCCACAACTCAGGGAGTTCACAAAGGCGTCAAGTAAAGGTGCCAAAAAGCTTGACTGAGCACTTAAGGGCCTGGAGTGAGGTGCTTTTCATGGGTATAAACTGTCAGTCCAGGTATTATTTCTTGCTGTTTCTTTTTTAAGTATCTGCAAAGTCAAATAAAGGCGTTTGCCATGGCAGGCTTGTTTTTATGATGCCATGATCTTCATGTGTTAGCCAAAGGAATATGCTTTCCTAAGATGTCTCTGGGCTTGTTTGCCTGTTTGTTTTGGTCATTGGATGCTTCCCAGCAGAGTGGTCCTTCCATCTCTAGATTTCTTAGGGCCAAGAAGCCAGACACAGTCATGAACCAATGGAAGAAGAAAATGGGATGCACATTTTTGCTAAATGAAATTCCAAAAAGGAAAAAAATGCACATGGGTTTATTTCTGCAAAATTATTGAGCATTTTTAGAGGGCATCATTTTAAAGGATATTTTGGAGATTGTTAACTAGAAACTAAAAAATAATTCATTAGCTTCAGATTGGGCAAATTTAAAATGTTTGAACACGAAATTAATTTATCAAATAATTCAGTTTTCAAAATTCCACTTTGATTTTAGTTTAAGTATTTTCTTTAATAGAATCAATTTTCAGCCAACTGATTATCCCTCTCCCTAACCTTGGCAGTACATAGGAATTTAAGAGATTGTTTTAACTGTTACAGTTGCAGTAGAATTTGTTCTTCAGAGAAAACGGGAGGTTAATGATTTTTGTCATATTGCGACTGAGACTTAACAATTGCTACAGTTGGCCTTTGTTGAGTAGGGTTTTCCCTCTCGGCCTTTTGAGGTACTCAGAATGGGTGACAATAGCTTGCAGTTGAGAACACATGTAGAGAGACCCCTGTGGCTTATTGGAAAAAGTTGCTCCATGCTGGTTGGGTGTTTGGAAAAAAAAAAAAATACAACCAGAGTTCTTTTATGCTCTGCCGGTTAATGAATGCATGAATGTCAAAATGGGCCAATGGCCCATTCAGGGGGCAAAGCCTTAGCAGCCCCCTTCTTTAAGAACACATCCTGAGATGCAAAATACATTTGCTTAACAAATTAAAATAATGAGATAATTCAATTAGCTTCTTTTTTGAAGACAGAAAATAAAAAGGGTACATCAGGGATTATTGTAATACAAGAACAGGTCACACTGCACAAAAGGGAACAAACCAGTTTGAAATAACGTTAAAGAGACTAATAATGGAAGAGTGTGCATTGAATCACACACATGTGAAGAAATTTACATGAAATAATCATTTAGACCACATATACTTTTAGTGAGCTCCAGCCAACATTTCACTTTGAAAGTCGAAATTAATTAAATGACAGAGAAATATACAGGAGCATCTCTATTTCCAAGGGCTCCCTCATGCCTGTGAGTGCATGCAAGAAAAGAAGTCTAAATTAACATGTCACTAGTTAGGGGTCTCTATTCTTGGTTTCTGAGCTCAGAATTACAGCTGAGTAACTCTTTCAGCTCATTAAAGATTGGAAAGTAAAAGTTTTACAGGACCATCCTCATCAAAGTTCCTGGGCCTCTTCCCTGCAGTGGGGGCGAAGTGTGGATGGACAGGGGAAACATTTTCAAAGAGAAAGCCAGGGAGACTTTCTCTGAAAACCAAGGGAGGTGCAGAAAAGGCTTGGAGGGGAGCAGAGGGAATGATGGGAGACAAAGCCAGTGGGAGGAAGCGATGAAAAGGGATAAGTTGTGGAAGCAGGTCATGGGGAGGAGAAAAGAAGGCACTTACTGAGCAGTAAAAGGAAAAGAGGAAGGGAAGGGAAAGCCGGCCACAAGGCTGGGAGAGAGTGCTGCTCTCGTGAGTGTCCCAGGCAGAACCCAAATGCAGGAGTGCAGGAAAGGAGCCCACAGAGGCTGCACCGTGTCCTTCACATTTGAAAAGTGGAACAAAGAAAGATTCAGGGAATTTAATGGAGTTCACTGGGCATCAGACATTTCGAGGAAAACTGAAGTTGAAATGAAGTGCCCCTGATTTCCAGGCTCAGATTCTCTGGGTCTTTTTTCTAAGCATTCATTAAAAAATTTAGTTGGACAGAGAATTTTGCACAAAGCTATGTGTACATCTTACTAGATGAACATTCTTGGAGGTGAAGATAAGCTCTGATGATAGTTTGTCGCATAGACGATCCACATGTGCTAGGGAATCATGGGCAAGTGGCTGTAGTGCATGCTGGGATCTAAGTCATGACAGGACAAGGCAACAGGTCCCTCAAGAGCTCCTGACTCTTCCCATGGGCTTCTACTCCCGGATTGAGCAGAGAGCCTTCTCAGAAAAGCTAGAGGAGCAGGAAGCTTTCCAGACAAGTAAGGAAGACAACCCTCGGCTTCTCCATTACCCCCGCCACCACCCCCATCACCACCTTGACTTTGAGATTACTGATGGCAGACATGGTGAGATCTCCACGCAACTGCTAAAGCTGACAGGATAAGAGCAAAGCCATCTTTACGAGGTGGGAAGAACGCAGAGGTGGTGATTGGACAGCTCGGCTTGACCTTCATCTAGACGCCCCCCCCCCTCCTTTCTGAGTCTCAGTTTCCTCTTTGGTAAATAGAGCTGCCAGATGCTCTGAGGGTCTGCCATTCTACACACTGCTTTCCATGACAGAGAGTGTAATCCCATGTGTAGCTAAATGCTTGCCTGGAAATCAGCTGTGGAAATGTCTATGTCTGACCAAGAATGACCAAATGCAAAGGAACTCAAGAGGGAGCAAACCAACCAGGTGAGCTGGTCAGGATGCAGCAGCCCACCTGTTCAGGCGTCTCCCATCCTGCTCAGTGCTGCTGCTACTCTAACCAACAAACTGAGCTGGAAATGAGAATGCCCTCCCCTCACACTCACTCGACTTCCAAATTAAAAACATTTTACAGGTTAGTCAGTCTCCAGCTGAGGTGATGTAGCAAAGAACAGCTGTGAAGTAATTTTGATAATGATGAGAATAATAAGCACATGGTAAGGTTCAGGGCTTTGCTGTTGCAGCTCCAGTGCTCCTGAATAGATAAAAGTGATTAAATACTCCTGATTATCCCTGACCAATATGTAATGGATTTACAGCCCTTTCAATTAGTCAGTATTTGCTTAGGACTCATTATTTTGTCTTTGGTTAAGTAATCAACCAGAGACGCATGTTCTGTCTAATTCCTCTGAGCCAAGTCGGTGCAGGGCCCTGACCTTTGAAATGGCCGTAACTGGGAGGCAAGAATAACCACTACCACTGCAGTCTCGGTTCTCCCAGCTGATCCCAACACCACGGACCAGATCGATACACCTCAGTTTGCTACTAACATCCTTACATCAAAATGGCCGATTTAGGAATGTGAATCTATCACTTTTCCCTCCCCACCACTGCTCTACCCTTTGCCCTCTGTCACTCTGTGAGAAGAGCAGATCAGCAGCCAGCACCATAAATAAGACTGGAACCTTGTCCTGGACCCATGACACTGTAACTAATGTCATTCAGCATGACGACACACAGGTTGGATAACCAAAGACCTTCAGCATTCAGTGTGCTACTTACTCTGTTATTAAGCAGTGGTTTAAACAGAATGGCCTAAAAACAAATCTGGGGCAAGAAACGTCCTCTGAAATGTTAACCATTCTCTGAGAATCTCCAAATGGACAGTAAAATATAAGCATGCATAGTTCCTCTGTAAAAATATATTGTCACATTTTGTCATGAGAGTCTTAGAGTCAACAGTATATATTGACACATAAAACTGACTGCAAACAGGAGGATATAAATTGTTACTTTAAGGATGTTGCACATAGTTACTCCTTTCCCAGAAGTGAAAAGGGTTAGCTTTTAAGATAATGGATTAGAACAGCTAAAACAGAATCTTCAATTTCAGCCTTACAAACAAAGGCATTAGAGTGCCTATAACACTTCAGCATCTGCGTGTGTGTATGGTATGTGTGTGTGCACACATGTGCGTGTGTATGGGGTGTCTGGTGTACATGGCAGGCATGTCTGCAGACCGCTTCAGTGAGTAAAGTTGATCTGATACAGTGAGCTTGCGTATGCATGTGGCAAGATGCTGGTTTTGCTCCTGGAGGACACAGCTTTGGTCAACAGGATAATCAGCAATGTTTACGGATTCCTCAGCTCCTTATAGCTGTTTCCTTGATTGAAATCACATTTTCTGAAGTTGTTCTCATGTCCTGTAGCATAAATAAAATTTTGCTTACGTGTACACACCATTTTAAGTACTGTCACACACCATTTTAAGTACGGTCTGTTGCTGGCCTGTTAAGACAAAGCCTTGCTCTTTTCTAACGACGGTTCACAACGGTTAATAAAATTGCAACTGCTCTACTAGTTACCACATTTCAAGGAACAGAAAGCAAGCGACCTTATTTAAAAAGAATAACAAAAGGAACCGAAAACAAAACAAACAACAACCCGGTGTGAGACCATATGACTTGCTAGGAGAACTCAGCGAAACAACAACTTTTATTTTTAATCTCTTTCCTCTTGACTTACTGTGAGATGCTGGAAGAGCCACGCTCTCATGATATTCGTTGCTACTTTGGGGAAAATGCCTCTTTTCTTCTGGCGTTTCTTGTCCTTGTCCGGATCGTCATCATCACCTGTGCCAGGTGACGCTACACTGTTGTCTAACCCGTCGCCTAGTAGGAAGAAATGAGAATACATTAGAGAAAACATAACAGAGGGTGCCAACAACAATGCCAGGCTAATGACAAGCTCAGCTAAGCTTGTTGAAAGAAATCCATTAAGCGGGTATATTCTCTTTCATTAAAGTATAATTGGAGACACAAATATGTAAAAGACAAAATTAAACCAGGCCTCTTCAGATGTTAATTTTGTGTGTCTCACACTCGCCCATATCATTAATTCAATTATAACTGTGTACTTGACACAGTGCAGTAGCTCTTTGTCAATTACGGAACCCACTATGGGCAAACCGCTATGATAAAACCCATTTGGTGGAAATACATCCCTGCCCATAGTGAGCACAGACTGCCGGTGATCAAGTGAAATGTTCTGTCGTCTATATATTCTAGGCTGCATGCATAGGCGACAGAAACTGTGTCACTATTGCCTGCTCAGCCCCTCCCGCGACTGTCACCTCCTAAGCACACTCCTCCTAGGACACAGGGCCTGCATTTGCATGACATGAAAACTTTTAGCTCTTTGCACCACTGATCATTATCATGGGGGCGGGGGTGGAGAGAAAAAAAGATGTACATCAAGGTAGGGTGCTCACTTAATCAGAAGTTTCTATCAAGATCTTTCTCTTCTGTGCTTTTCTCTGGCATTAATTGTGCATTAGCAAAAATCATTTACTTTTAACAGTCATAGTTATTTTTTCTTGCCCTCCGGCAAAAATGCCTTGAAAGCCTGCCTGGAGGGCATCTAAATTATGTATCTGAAAAACTCTTCTGGCAAGGCATTTCAGGACCCCTACTTTCTTAAAATTCATACGAGCACGTCTTCCTGTTTTTGGGAAGGCATCAATCAAGAACAGCAATATATGCCATATCCCTACATTAATATTTGAACTAATAACTTTAAAAAAAGGAAAGAAACAAGATCCGACTTGTGGCATAATCAAATGCAAAATAAATGAAGAATACGGGGACAGCACTGGGGCTTTAGAGATGGCTGTGTTTTCCTTGCACATCATTAGCCTGGAGCCACACGAAAGAGGAAAACAGAGAAGTGCAGAGTTTGTGCTCCCTGCTGGTGTTTAAGAAGCCGGGGTCCTGGAAGGACATCTGGGAATTGCAGTGAGATGGGTTTTTTTTGTAATTTAAGAATAGACATTCATTAGCAGTAAATGCCATAAATCCCATGCTAAGTAAAAACCTTGTCCAAGAAAGCCTAAAACAATAAACTCTGTGCTCAGTGTAGCCTGAGCTGGGCACTCTGTAGCTGTCTCAGGAATGCAGTCGATCCACCAGTAAATCCCCAAGACCTGCTCCCTCCTCCCCACAGTGTTCACCCAGACTTCCTGTCCACTGGGTCACTCCTCCGAACTTCTGGTTCTGCTCTACAGCATCTTTGTATCTCTTCTTTGCTTTCTCTCCAAAAAAAAAAAAAAAAAACCCTCAACCTTCTTTGACCAGAGAAGCAGAAAAACCACAGCAAAGAGCTGGCAGATTAATTTTATTGACATTTCCATTTTCACTGCAATGCGATCCCCTCCATCACATAGAAGGGATGACCCTCACTATTTACAGACTGACAGGCCACTTCGTTACAGCCACCCTGCCCCAAGGCAAAGCAGCTCCCTTCCATCTGCCCAAACACTAGAGCATGACCCTGAAGTTGCTGTTCTCTTTTTCTTTGCCTTCTGTTATGATAAAAAAAAAAGGAGAGAGACAGATAGATACACACACACACATACACACACACACACACACACACACACACACAGAGACACAGACCTCCCCACCAAATAGTCAAAGAATGAATCTGTGTACAGGGAAACAAAAGACATTTGGCCTTTTGAATACTGGATATATAGAATCTAGTCTTCAGCCCCTCCACATTCATGTACATTTTGGGGTCATCTTCGAAGATACACACACCCACAGACACAGACACAGACAAACACACACACACTCTTGCACACACATCCAAGCCCACATGGGGACACAAGCACACGCTTTTCACCGTGCCAAAGAACTGCTGCAAGGCAAATTCTCACCTACACTAATAGCTTCTGACTGCTCCCTGGCAACCCCAGTATTTTCACCTGGGTGGATGTACCCTCCAAAATACAGACACTGAAGCCGTCTCATCAGTTGCTCGGGTGACACAGATGGAGAGTGGCTATTAGGAGCCAGGCAGTGGGCCTTGGGGATCTGAGGTGCTGTTCGGTAGCCTGAGGCAATTTTGAAAAGCAGTACCCGGAGATGAGGAAAAAAATCCTCATTGCTAGAGCAAGTTTGAAGTCAGTCAGTCTGTCTGTCTACACACCGGGGATAGAGATATCTTTGTCTCTTACTGTGAAGTCTCTGTGGCTATCCAAATGTACGTTTCAGATTATGTATGGAATAACTCTTCCTTCACTGTCTTCCAAATAGAAAAACACACTCTGTAAACAATGCCTGTGTGTATATATTTCTTCCTAAGCACATATGGTTTCTGTGTATATGTTTAAGCTGAAATTGTCAGGATTTTGTTAAAGTCTCATTTAGCTTTCTTTGATAGATTTTTGAATACACTTATTGCAAAAGGTTAATGGCTTAATTGAAGGAAGTTCAACGAAAAAAGGCATTTGCCTTTTGAACCCAATCAATGACCTTAAAAAAATGAGAGGCAGTGCTTCCACAGTGCATTTTCTCTTGTTTAAAAGCAAAGAAGGCTGATAACGCCCTCCGACTGTATGATTTCACCATGTTTAGCTCTGGAAAAAAAAATGTAGCTAGCACAAGCATCCTTTGATGACTGACTTAAATTGGAGAAAGAGGAGCATTACATGAATTTTAATGGAAAGCAGTCCATTTTGTAAAAATGTTATGAAATACTTCAATTTAAATCCATGTCTCAAATAATTATAAACAAAAATGTCTGATTTTATGTTAATAACTAGATACTAGATAGGAGAGTTTTTAAAATAAGTTTTCTCTTTAACAATTTCATACCCCTATATGGATAGGAGACTTTAATACTAGTGTTTACAGATCTAGAAAAAGGACTTTTCCTTTACCAAATACAACAATAAATACTGTCATTTTTCAATGGGCTATGAACCAAGTCAGCACAGAGTACTAACAACAGCAGAACAAAATTTTTTTAAAGATGTGCAGGTGATACTGGAGTTAACCACTGTCACACTGGGTATTGGTTTTTTGTTTGCTTCAAGGCTGTGTGGAAGAAGGTTGGAAATCTTTGGCATTTGCATCAGTTATGTTAATGTCCTGAAAAGTGGGTACACTGGCACAGTGTGTGTGGCTACAGGAGGTAGAGAAACAGAGCACAGGCATCAGCACCTGAAGTTAGGATTCAACACTGCAGAATCTTTGAGAAAAGAACTGTTTCTTGCTTTTCTTTGTCTTAGGCACAGAAGTCTATGCCTGACCACAGCAGGCATACCACCATGCTGGTGGGTGTGTGGTTATATGGTCTGTGAGCGTACTTAAGGACCTTTTCCTCTCTGACAATGGTCATACTAGGGAACTGCACCCCCAAAGCACCCACGGGCCATTCTCAGCACCAGTGGATTGCCTACATGCACACTCCCTTATAAACATGCCCACAACAGTGTTTCTTGGGAGACTGACCTCAGTACACACAAGGCCCACTTGAGTGGATGCACTGTAACCAGATTTTTAGCTCTGATGATGAAGAAAGGAAGAAATATTGGGCTCACTTCCTTTTGAAGGTTACTAATCTCTTGACTAAGGTCATGGTCTAAGTTTGGGGCAAGATGTGAAAATTAGTGGGATATAATGTGTGTGAACATGAGAAGAATACTCAAGGTCTGTGAACAGATAGACTACAAGGATAGCAAACTTGAAGGGAGACATAGACCCAAGGCCTCAGCCCAGAGTCATTGAAAGAAAACATCCTGGACCCAGAACATGCTTTTTTTTTTTTTCTTTTTTTTTGGTCTTTTTGAGACAGGGTCTCCCTATAGTCCCAGCTGTACTAGAACTCACTATGTAGACCAGGCTGGCCTTGAACTCATAGAGATCAGCCTGCTTCTGCCTCTCAAGTGCTGGGATTAAAGGCGTGCGCCACAATGCCGGGCTTTGGGAACATGCATTTTTAACAAGTTCTTTGGATTTCCTTATGCAGGAAGACTGACACTGGTTCTTTGTGTATGTGCGTACACGAGTTTGTGCATGTGCACACATGTGCATCTATGTGTGTAGTCAGAGGTCAGTGTTGGTGTCTTCCTCAATCACTCTCTGCCTTGGTTTTTCTTTCATTTCTTCTTAAAAATGTGCAATTTTTATTTATTTACTTATATCTATTGAGTGTATATGTATGTGTGTGTGTCTGTGTACATACTACTAAGTGTGTGTGTAGGTCAGAGGACAACCTGTGAGAGCTGGTTCTCTCCTTCTATCATGTGGATGCTGAGGGATGGGCTAGGTGGTAAGCCCCTTTACCTGCTGAGCCATCTCAAAGGCCCCACTTTTTCTTTTTCTTTTTCAATTCAATTAAATTATTTTGGGGGTATGTGCATATGTGGGGGAAGTGCAGGCATCCATGTGCAGGTGTGTGAGGATGTGTGTGAGGATGTTGGGTATCCTGCTCTATCACTCTCAGCCTTATTCTGTTAAGACAAAGGCTTAGAACTTAGAGCGAACTTAGAGTGAGCCTGGTGGCCAGCAAGTTCCAGCAATCTTCTTGTCCTTGCCCTCCACAGTATGGTGTGATAAGCACATATATCCATGCTGAGTTTTTACTTTGGTGCTAAGGATCTAAACACAGGTCCCACAGCAAGAGTTCTTACTCACTGAACCATCTCACCAGCTCCCACCTTATTTTTTGAGACAGGGTCTATCACTGAACCTAGAGCTTGTAGATTTGGCTAGACAAGCTCCAGGGATCCTCCTGTCTCTGCACTCTGCCTCCTTATCACTGAGATTACTGATGTGTGCTGCTGTGGGTGTTGGAAACTTGAATCTGTGTCTTTTTACTTGAGCAG